GGTGTAGTGGCAAACGATCTGCTTAACACGCCCACGGTCCGGGTGTCAAGTTCCGGGCCGACTCTCGCTCAAGCCAACCAATCGTTGAGACCCTACTGAACTTGCATCACTTTCACCCGGGAAATTAAAAACTGATTTGTACATGTATAGGTACATGAAATGAACCCCAAAGTAGTTTTATGGTCCTGAACTAGCCCAGGAAGCCACTATGATCTGAAATGAGAGTTAAGCATTCTTCGCTGCGGATGCTGCACGTGTCAGGGAAAAGCCTGGCCTCGGCGCGATGCCAACCCGTTGTCCACCAACAGTGAAAGCTGCGCGCACAATCGGTTGAGAGCAGGTTGGCGCCTAGCCAGATCCAGCCCCTGTCTGCTGCATTCCAAAAAGGGATTGTTCAACGCATATAAGAAAATGCATACCTGCTCTTCTGCCTTCCCTGCGTCAAGTTCTCTATCAAGACAACGTAAATAATCGTCTCGAGCCTAGAACGATACGAGATCTAGCATAGTAAAAATGAGCGAATCGGCAAAAACCAATGAAAATGATCCTCAAAAGAATGGAAACGCTCAGATGCAGCTCTTTCTAGTTATCATCAGGAACGATATCGCGCTAATCCTTGAGCGCACATAACCGCTGATGGCCGTCATTGTTGCATGCAGATGCTGGGACATGCCAGAAAGGCTAGGTCTGCCTCGACGCCAGCCCGTTTTCCTCCAATTGTTGGTCGCTTTAACAATTGCTGGAGGAAGGGCTGACGTCTCGCCTAAACCCAGCATTCGGATACGTCCCAGCGTCTGCAGCGAAAACGACAGCGGTTGCCCCGCCGAGCACTAACTTCATTCAAGGCATACAGGGGATATACCCTTCCTCCGATTGTGGTGGGCCGGAGACGCCAAACCAATGTGTCTTCCTCATTGGTGCATTCCACCCTTCAAAACAGTAAAAAGGAGGGGCGGAAACCGCACTAGTTTGGTGTCCCCGCCCTAACGACCAAAACGAACTGCACTTTAAAGAAAACCTTACTGGCTTCAAGGTTGATATATGGTCAGACACCGACTTACAGGCTAAAAATCAAAAAGGGGATTACACAGAGAGCATCTTTACTGAAGTGATATGAGGACTGAGACTGGCCACTTTCCACAGCTCTTTCAACTTCCTTCGGGAGATTGAGTCATGTCACAATACGATCCTAGCAGTAGGAACTGAAATCCCGCCAAGGACCCCGTCCGCTAGTATTATAATGTCATTGTACGGCAAAAACTCGCAGTCTAAGCCACGACCGGTTTGGGTTCGTCTGCACTCTAGCTGGCTCACTAATTATTTCCTCCAGTACCATGTAGAAGGGAAACAACAGGAAACTATACTGCGAAAACAAGCTGTAAAAACTGAACTCGAGACAAAAAACCTTTCTTTGAGTTTTGGTGGGCGAGGAAACTAGGGGGGGGGGCATAAATGCCACTTATGAAGGCCAGAGCTCCTTCGCCACTTACTGTGAAGCCGCGAGAGCGCGATAATCTTAGAGAATGGGCGCCAGACTACTTGTACAATGGAAGGACGCCTACTAGTTGCTCGAGCGCGGGGTCTATCTTTGAAGTGAGCAGTCGCGCAGAGAAGAGGTGGCATAGCCTCATCCTTGGCTATTCCTTTGAGACCGCGTTAGTTTCCATCTTCTTTCCCAGGAAAACACTAAGCGCTTGAAACATTATTACCTGATGGCACTGCTGTCTATCCTTTTTCAGTGCCACACCTTTGGTCGCATCGGACATCACCGTCCAAAGCTCACTATCTAAAGAAATATTGAGGAGCTTTACCCACCATTACCTTCAGAATGATAAATATTCCAGCAAATAAATGCTCCGTTGGAACAAGGAGTAACTCGGAAATTTACAAATATTTATTTAAACATACAGAATTCCATCCAGCGAACATAAGTACAACACGAGACCACAGTCCACATTGTTTGCATGGGCGGAGCCAGGCCCGTAATTGCGCGTTCCTTCTCTCCCATCCTCCAAGACAATAAAGAGAAAGCTCGCCAGCAAGGAACGCACAGCGGTAGGCCTGACTCCGCCCACAGAACCAACGTGAAGTGTGCCTTTAAGCTCTGTACGAACAAAAAAATTACAACCAACGATAATTCAAATGTTTTAGCTTAGTGAAAACTATACATTTGTATGATATCGATTTTTTTTCTTCTGCCTGTTTCTATTCAGACGGTTCTTCCTCTTCACTCTTTTCACTTCCTTCCTCTATGCCTTCTCCCGTCATCATCAACTCTTCTTCACATTGATAAACCAGCTTTAATAAACAGAAGTATCAGTTGCTGGACAGTAAGTGAACTTCTTTCAGAGCACGTCATACAGAGGGTTCTCAGATAGAAAGGGGGGGGGGGCATTAAGATGTTTGTAGGAGGTAGGGGTCGTATTTTGGTTACTGTAAGGAGGGAGGGGTCGCACTGACCTGGGAAAAATGTTTCTGATGTTGACTTCTCCTAATTTTTCCCGTCTCTAATGCTGCGCTACAGCTTACTGACCTCCCCACCTCCCACCCACCATTCGACTGGCAGTGAGGGCTTTTTGACAAGGAAAATTGCGCAAAGTCTGAGAAACAGGGGATGAACGAGGTGGGAACTTGGGAAGCCTTGGAGACTAGCGGAGTGGGTATGATCAGGGAGGGGCGAGCCGTATTAAAGAGGAAGTTTCGTGGAACATACTTCGCAGAACTTTTCCCTAACAGCAGGACGTGCCCTGACTTCTTAACCGAGAAATGCCTTACCAGGAAGGACAATACACACCAGGCTACTCCAATCATAAACATAACAGTTTCTACTGAATCGTCCTCGATAGAAACAATTGCAGATCACTCGTAGTGTAGGTAGCCTCAGTCCAGGTGGAATAAGTCGAATTCGTAAAGTCGTAATCTGTGAGAAAAAAAACAAGGATTAGAATCGGACTGAGCAAAAAACAGCTAAAATTACTTGTTAAAGGCGCACTGGCGCAGTTCGGCTTGGTGGGGCACTTAATGGTAGTTAACGAAACTAGTTCAGGCCATCTTGTGAAGACCTGCGAATCCTTGTAACCCGCGAAGGTACTCCACTTTATACACTCTTCCTGACTTGCACCCAGAGTTCCGGGTCTCATGCAAGTGCGTAAGCTGCTAGTTGATCTGGACCAAAAGCGAAAGGAACCAGCGAAAGCGCTAATATCCCTCCCAAGCCAAAGAGTGTCAGAAGCATTTCGTGATAATCATGGAAGGACAAAACTGCAGAGACTGATATAACCATAGTAACCTTTCTCAGTGGTACACCTCTCAATCCTTTTTTGTCCTATTGCCTTATGAGATTAGGAGGCGGCGGGATTCACTAATACCGGATTATTAAGTCCATCAGTGATATTTAATTTCTCGTAGTTAGGTGCGGCTGCGTTCGAAAAAGCTCAGCAGATGGACTGCCACAGGTGGCAAGCGGTCAAGCATAAGAGGAAGGAGGCTATTGCTTTCAAGGTCGCTAAGCATACATTCCGCGAGCGACAGACGGATGGGCGGAGACCCATGACAATTGTGCCCTTCCCAATTAGGCGCATGAACCACCACAATACGTAGAGAGAGAAGGCGACCGATGAGGAAGATGCAACGGTTATGAGGCCACGCCCATCCGATCACCGCGGAATGTGTCGTAAGAATCCATGAACAATGGTCAATTGTGGGGCTGTTTAATAATTGATTGATTGATTTACAAATCGATTAATGATTTACGATTAGAAAAATCTATACCTTCTATATCAAAGGCAGGTGACTCAGCAATATAAAAGTGAACCGGGGTGCGGTAGCAATGAGAGGTATTGGTTACGGGATCGGTTAACACATGGTAGGTGTAGACCTAAAAATATAAGGACTTCATGCTTTTGATAGATTTTTCAATTTTTCTTGCTTATTTCAGCTAAAAATCAGCTTGTACTCAGATGATGAGGGATATTCGTCGTTCCGTACGACCTCCTTCCCTCGCTCCCTCCTGTAGGAGGGGGGGGGGTGAGGAGCGGGATTTGGAAAATTCCTCTAGCCTTTCCAGTCAAGAGAGGCTCCCTCAGCAAGACGAATACGATCCCCCTCCCGAGCAAAGCACATACAGCCTTGCTCGCTGCGGACGCTGGTGCTTGTCAGGGGATTGGGTCGCTTGACAGCTTCCACAATCGGTGGAAATGGTTGGTACCGCGCTAAAACCATCCCCCCTTCCGAAAGGCCCCAGCATTTGCAGCGGACAAGAATGTATCACACACTATCTCACCTGGAAATTCTAAAGGCATAGCATGCCCAACACACAGTCATTATCCCTACAAACGAGAGGGCGTTTAAGAAGGTGTCGATTGAAGTGCAGTCATGCGACCTCATCACTATCAGGAGGAGCAGCTGGCGCGAAAGGGTGCCATGGCCACGCTCTAGTACATGCCCCTTCAAAGACTCTCGTTTGCGGGGATGACGACGTTGTCTTGAGCATGCCGCGCCTTTCAGATTTCTCTGTGAGGGATAGAGTCGGGTGGTACAGTCTTGTTCGCTGCAGATGCACAGGCGTGTTAGGAGGACTGGATTTGACTTGGCGCCAGCCCGTTTCCCACTAACTGTGAAGCTGGTAAGCGACCACAGTGAGTGAGGAGCTGGCGGCGTCCCTCCCATGATTCACACATGAGTGCAGTACTAATTTTTTCCTCCGGAAAAACGAAACCTTGGCTGACCAGGTCAGGATTCCATCGCACATACGGCTGACCAGCGCCGTCAGCGTCCTGATCCACTGCGCTACCACCCTAAGGCAGACTGTGAATGTGGAACTCACGTTTTGTCCCTTGCCTAGGAGCATACATGCGGCATGATTCTTCTCATCACTGTGTTCATGTGCTATTGATCCCGTCAGATACATCGTCAATGACCGTACAGGGAATCGTAGGCGGTGGCTTAGACCGACCTTTACATAGGTGGACTTTCCACTATAGGCTGTAACAGACGTAAAATCGATCAAAGATATTCCGCAAAGCTCGGATTTTTGTATTCCACGTAAACCGTAAACCGTGTGGGCGGGGATCCGATCTACTATTGCGCGCAACCATCCATCTTATATGGTAGAGAAACGGAGCGAAACGAGGAGCCAAGATGGTGGGTCTGGATCCGCCCAAACAATTAGCGTGGAATGTGCCTTTGGGAATGGTTTCTAAATATAAAAAAAGAAAGAAAAGAACTAACACAATGGGTCCTTTGGTCTTTTTCCAGTGATCTGATTGAGATAGTCACACGAATACCAATCCGCAGAATCAATAAAACATTTGAAAAGCGTAGACACCTAAACAGCAGCAGCGTGATGACATTTTTCATTATTAGGCCCTGAGGTATGCATCATTGCGCGAAAACCATCACGGGACGAGGATGAGGGGATGGCGAAGGGAGGGGGAGGGGGGAGGTAGGTCTGAAGTAAAATTACCCCACTTGCTAAATTTCCCTTCACGCGTTTTGTAGAACCTTCCCGGACCTTCTGCCGTAGTCGACGAGCGGAAAAATCACTATTATTATTACTTGCTGAGCAAATTTGTCAACTCCTTGTTGCGCTTGATCGCCCACAAAATCTTGGAGGATTTTGCTAAAAATGTAGGCAGGATCTGGGCGATGAGGGCCACACCAGAATAGGGAATATGAGCAACCACGTACCTACTATTTGATTCAGTCCATCCCGATGCTCTACCTAATCCCAATTTCCATCTTGCAATAAAACATCAGTGTACGTCAAAAAAAAGAAAGTGAGTGGGGGTTTACAGCGTGGGCGGAGACAAAGAACAAGCTTGCTGGCACAGCCCTCCTATCTACAGCCCGGAAAGAAAAGCTCACAAAGCGATTGAAGCGAAACAAGTTGCCGTTGTCTCCGATCATCTGATTATCGCGGAAAGTGCCCTCAGAAACGGAAGAGTAGGGTATTCTAATTTGTATCCCAGATACTATTATTATTATTTATTATTATTATTATCGTTGCCCAGAAAAAATCAGTTGTAGAGGGATGAGTCCAGCGGTAAGTCAGATGGGAAAAGGCCAGTGACTGAAGGAAGTCAATATTGCCTTTAAACTTGGACTAAACAGGCATTCTGCAGAAAACGCTTGAATTTTATCAACAGTTGAAAAGGAATAGCGATTTTTGTGAAGAAAAAACAATTTAATTATGGAGTATACAACTCACGAACTCTTTGTCGATTTCCAACTTTGACTTGGTATCGGAATCTAATCCTACATGTTCAGCAGCGGCGCGTAGCATAGCGCTTGCTGCCATCGTCACTTCAGAATGTGCCGCTGATCGCTGGGTAGAATCCCACTGAGCTCGGTCAAGCATCGAGTTGAAACGGCTAAAAAGTACTATTAGGGCTGGGCGTTTATACGTTGCGCAAGCGAGCGTAGCGCTTGTCACCAGCATAGCCCCGAGCGCAGTGCGCGAGAGAGCGAGAGGCGATCTAGCGTTCCCAGCGTCACCAGCGTCACGCTAGCGTACGCCAGCGTTTCTCCAGCGTTTCACCAGCGTTTTGCTAGCGTTTGCAGCGGCAGGGGAGTAGAGACTATGGGAGAGCTGGAGGGTACACATCGATTGCGCGTCTCTCACTCGCCCTTAGTCTCTACAATGCACATCGCTTCTGCGTCTCCGACGGCCACATAGTCTCTACTATACACATCGATTCCGCGTCTCTGCCGGCCACATAGTCTCTACAATACACGTCGATTCCGCGTCTCTCACGGCCACATAGTC